CAGCAGGATGAGGAGGGGGTTTGGAATCTTCATCTCCCACCCACCCAGCCAGTGGGAGCTGGTGGGCAGCAGGATGAGGAGGGGGTTTGGAATCTCCCACCCAGCAGAGCTCCAGTGGCCAGAGCAGATTCCCTGGATGGAGCTGTGGTCACTGCCAGGGTCCTTCCAAGGGCTGTGCCTGCTCAGGGGGGTTTTGGGTCCCAAAAAGGGGTGGGTGTCATGGCTGAGGGTTCTCCAGCAGCATTTCCGTGCTGGCCCAATCCTCCAGAGCAGGGAATGAGGAGCTGCTGGTGACAAACCCTGGATTTGTGGTGCAGCAGAGCTCGGTTTGAGGGGATTTGGGTGTCTGGAACCCTTCGGGGCAGCCGGTGAAGGTGCAAACCCCAAAACCTCTGTGCCCCTCCTGTCTCTGCAGAGCAAATCGTGGAGAAGGATGAGGGGCCCTACTACACCCACCTGGGCTCGGGGCCCACCGTGGCCTCCATCCGGGAGCTCATGGAGGAGCGGTAAGAGCCCCTCCCCGGGCTGGGGTCCTGTCAGGGCACTGGGGCACTGGGGACCTGCGAGAGTGGTTTGGGTCCTGTCAGGGGAGTGGGGACTTGAGAGAGTGATTTGGGTCCTGTCAGGGCACTGGGGACCTGCGAGAGTGGTTTGGGTCCTGTCAGGGGAGTGGGGAGTGAGTGGGGTCCTGTCAGGGGAGTGGGGATTTGTGAGAGTCAGTGGGGTCCTGTCAGGGGAGTGGGGAGTGAGCAGGGTCCTGTCAGGGGAGTGGGGATTTGTGAGAGTGAGTGGGGTCCGGTGAGGGTGACTGGGGTCCTGTCAGGGCGACGGGGGCTCTGTGGGGCTCTGAGGGTCCCACGAGGGTGACGGGGGCTCTGTGGGGCTCCTGAGGGTGATGGGGGCTCTGTGGGGCTCTGAGGGTCCCACGAGGACGATGAGGGCTCTGTGGGGCTCTGAGGGGCCCACGAAGATGATGAGGGCTCTGTGGGGCTCTGTGGGGCCCACGAGGGCGACGGGGGCTCTGTGGGGCTCCTGAGGGTGATGGGGGCTCTGTGGGGCTCTGAGGGTCCCACGAGGGTGATGGGGGCTCTGTGGGGCTCTGTGGGGCTCCTGAGGGCGATGGGGGCTCTGTGGGGCTCTGAGGGTCCCACGAGGACGATGGGGGCTCTGTGGGGCTCCTGAGGGTGACGGGGGCTTTGTGGGGCTCTGTGGGGCCCACGAGGGCGATGGGGGCTCTGTGGGGCTCCTGAGGGTGACGGGGGCTCTGTGGGGCTCCTGAGGG